TGCAAGTCATGTGCCACTTCAGAAACTCGGAGAATCAGCTGGGTGAGCCCGGCATCCTGCGCTTTTCTCCACATGAAGCACTGAGACAGGCCTGGTCCACTGTGAGCACAGACTTCCTGGTGCCATTCTGGTAATTTGGGTCCTATTCCTAGAGGCTTCTAGCTGCCAAGCTCCTATGAGCTAACATGTATACTGCACCTCAGAGCTGGGCTTGGCAACAGTAAACACTTGGTAAATGGTAGCTATTATTATAATCAGCCTTTAATTTTTAAAGCAGCGTTAGTACCAGGCTTCTACCAATTAGTATGGCCTATCTCAAAGCCTCATTGCTTAGTCTTTCTGGTGTGTGTGTGTGTACTGTTTTTTGAGACAGGGATGTCACTCTTTGTAAGCCCAAACTAGCCTTGAACTCTCAACCACGTGTCACACCCTCAATAGTGCTGGGATTCCGAGCCTGAACACCATGCACAGCACCAGGACACACAGAAGGCTGAGACACCTGGGCCCTCTGCTGTCCTCAACCTCAGTGTCTGTCTTAATCCTGGCAGTCACTCCAGCCTTCCTTATCATCCCAGGGGGGCTCCTGCCTTGTCCAGCCTAGGAAATAGTTCCCTCCTGTGCACAACTGCCTTCTTCCACCTGTTCCCTTCCCAGGCAGAACTAAGAGATTTAAAGTTACAGCCCTTTGTGGTGTCTTAAGCTCATAGGTGGCCCGTAGGCTCATGTATTTGATGCTTCATCACCAGGGAGTCACCCCAGTCCCCACTTGAAAGGACTAGGAGGTGTGGCCTTCTTGGAGGAAGTGTATCACTGGGGATGGACTTTGAGGGTTCAAAATCCCATGCCAAGCCCAGTCTGTCTCTGTGCCTTCTGCTTGAGGATCAGAATGTAGCTTTCAACTACTTCTCCAGCACCATGCCTGCCACAATAATGGATTAAACTTCTGAAACCGCAAGCAAGCCCTGTTAAATGCCTTCTTTTTTAAGAGTTGCCCTGGTCATGGTGTCTCTTTACAGCAACAGTGACCAAGGTTCCATTCTACAACAGTTTACCCTTCTCTTGTTCTTTTCTTCATGGCATTTAACCCCCGCCCCCCGCAATATATGTAGCATATTTTTTACTGTATCTTCAAAGTCAACTCACAGGGCCCATGTCCGTTCCATGGCTAGCTCACAACAGCCTGTATTCCAGGAAATCTGATGCCCTCTTCTGGTCTCCTTGAGCACCACACACACATAAATCTTAAATGGTGCATTCACAACATTTAGCATGTGGGAGGTACCCCAAAACTGTTAGAGATCCAGTTCTTGAAGAGGTCAGTCATACAAATCAAGGGGAATGCCAAGGGTGCTGGGATTACATCACAGTTCTGCTCTGGTATGAGTTCCTGGAATCTTTGACTCCAAATAGATAAAGCCCATGGCCAGGTACCACACACTGAGGCAGCACGGGAGCCCATGATCACTCTAACGGTAGTCCTCTTTGTAGGAGGGATCAATGATGTAGCAGGCTGCTCGTGGCCTTCCTGGCCCCTGCAAACCACATCCTCCAAGGGGCGTGGCTAGCTATCTTTTCCAGGCTCCTTTGCAGCTGGCTACAGCTATGCAAATGACTTTCCAGCAGGAGCACTGTGGGGGAAGTGGCTTACGCCACTGGTAGGCACCTCTTGCAAACTCCCTCTACCAATAAGCCAGGCAGGACACCCAGCATGGATCATAGGGGTGGCCTGAACCCCAGGACTCCTTGCTTAAGGATAGTGGTTTTGTGCCTGTGATTCTGGGGCTAAGGCAAGAGAAACACAAATTAAAATTAAGCAGAACCTTGTCTCAAAGAAAAATGAAGCCAGGCAGTGGTGGCGCACGCCTTTAATCCCAGCACTCGGGAAGCAGAGGCAGGGAGTCTCTGAGTTTGAGGCCAGCCTGGTCTACAAGAGCAGAGCTAGTTCTAGGACAGAACAGGATCCAAAGCCACAGAGAAAGCCCGTCAAAAAAAAGGAAAAGAAAAAATGAACATGGTTTAAAAACTATGGGTCTGGGGTTGGAGAGATGGCTCAGTGGTTAAGAGCATTGCCTGCTCTTCCAAATTCCAAAGGTCCTGAGTTCAATTCCCAGCAACTACATGGTGGCTCACAACCATCTGAAATGAGATCTGATACCCTCTTCTGGCCTGCAGGCAGACACACAGACAGAATACTGTATACATAATAAATAAATAAATATTTTTTAAAAAAACAAAAACAATGGGTCTGCCACTAAAAATGATGCATCATGTGGTTATACAGGAGTTATGAGTCATACCGACACCTCCAATTCCAACCCACTCCCCCAGATCGCCCCCCTTGGCTCCCCCCATTGCACATGTGCATCCCCACTCATTCCACAGAGATTGCAGCACTAAGCAGGCTCCCCATTGGCCCAGTCTTGCGTTTCTACAAAGTGCCAGTTTCCAATGGAAGTCGACGCTATGAAGGTGAAGGCCAGGTGTGTTTGCAGATGGTGTATGGCTTTCCCCATCAGCTGAGGCTACACAATCAAAGCATCACTGACAGAAACTAAGTACCTCTCTCTTGGATCCCATTGGTATCTTGTCACTAATTGTAATAAGACTTGCTTTACTGGCATTCAGTTCTTAAAAAAAAAAAGAAAGAAAGAAAAAAGAAGCCAAACAAAAACAATTGGGATGTATCTTTCTTTCTCTTTCTTCCTTCCTTCCTTCCTTTCTTTCTTTCTTTTTTTTCCCTGAGACAGGGCTTCTCTGTAGCTTTGGAGCCTGTCCTGGAACTAGCTCTTATAGACCAACCAGGCTGACCTCAAACTCACAGAGATCCGTATGCCTCTGCCTCCCGAGTGCTGGGATTAAAGGCATGCACCACCACCGCCCTGGATGGACCTTTCCTAATATGCTCAAAGGCCGAGGTTTAATCCCCAGAATCACATAAAATTAGTCCCGGTGGTGCATGTTGGCAATCGCAGCACTCAGGAGGGGAAGCAGAGGGATGCTAGTACAGACCGCATTCACCATACTCAGTCACACACAGAATCTGGCTTTTATTCATTCTGCCCTTCACATATCTACTGCTAAGACAACACACATGGGTGGGACCCCCAGCCCAGACTGACTGTAGCTTCCTCAGCCCCTGCTCCTACCCACCCCTCCACCAGCTCCCTGGTGGCCCTACCTAAACCTCACCCCGGGCATGTAGCATGAAGTGACCATGCAGCTCCCCGAGGTTGTCAAAGGAGTCCTCACACTCCGTACAGTGGTAGGTACCCCCCTCCTCCTCATCTTCATCTCCATCCCGCCCTGCTGGCAGGCTCTCCCCAGTGCGAGATGGCTCCTCCTCTTCCTCACCAAGAGCCCTGCCTTCAGCGGCTGGGGCTTCTTGGGTTGCTGTTGCAGGGCAGCAGAGTCGGCAAGGTGGGGTACCAGGTGGGGCCTCTGCCAGCAGTGATCGGCCACAGAGCTGGCAGAGCTGTGCAGGTGGGCCAGCAGGCTGGGCTGCTCGGGGGGCCCGGCGGGATGGGCCTCCCCTGCCCCCACCTATGCGCTGTTTCACCTTATAGCCAGGGTCATATTCGGGGTCATCAGTGGTCTCCTCTTCTTCCTCTTCCTCCTCCTCCTCCTCAGAGTCGGGCTCTGAAAGAGTGTATTCAGAGTCAGAAGAATGCTCCGGGCCTGTTGGGGCGGGTAGGAGAGACATGGCATCAGGGCTGTGTCCAGCTGACCCCCTGAGCCCCCATCAAGCTCACTGTATGGGCAGGACAGCTTGACACAACAAAGATGCAATGAATCTATGTGTCTAGCAAATGAGTGCCTGCAAGTGCTACATCTGTCATCTGTAATGCCAGAACTCAAGGAGGCTGAGGCAGAAGAATCACACAAGCTCCAGGCCAGGTGGCTTAGAGAGAATGAGACACTGTCTCAAAATAAAAAATAGACACATGGGCATCAGCCGTGGGGTAGACAGCAAAGACAGTATGCGTGTGCTCACCCAGCTCTTGGAGCAACACCTGGACCAACCTAGAAACTGAGGCATTAGAGCAGGTATATGAATCACTCACCTGCGATCACACAGTCTACCAGAGAGCTAAATATGACAATGTTCTACACTGGACCATTTCAGGAAGACATGTATCAGAATAGGTAGCAAAATAGTAAATTAAAATGCAGTACATGAAAATAAGAAAATGTTTTTCCCCATCTGTATAAGTGTATGTGTGTACGTGCGCGTAGAGACTTGTGTGTTGTGGAATATTAGTTTAAGATGTGTTACATTCATTTATGCTGTGAGATATTTAATGATGCAAAGATGTGTTGCATTCTTTTCTGTTGCATTTGTTTACCTCTGTGAAGCTGTGATTCTTTTCCTGTCTAAAACACCTGATTGGTCTAATAGAGAGCTAAACGGCCAATAGCTAGGCAGGAGAGGGATAGGCAGGGCTGCCAGGCAGAGAATAAGTATAAGGAGAAAAAGAGAAGAGGGAGGAGTTGAGAAAAGGAGGAGAGAGGATACCAGGGGCCAGCCATCTAGCTACACAGCAAGTCATGGAGGAAGGAAAGACAGAATAAAGGTAAAAAGCCAGGAGGCAAAATAGTAGTTAAAAAGAAATGGGTTAAATTAAGTTAGAAAAGCCAGCTAGAAACAAGCCAAGCAAGCCGAGCAGTGGTGGTGCACGCCTTTAATCCCAGCACTGGGGAGGCAGAGGCAGGCAGGTGGATCTCTGTGAGTTCAAGGCCAGCCTGGTCTACAAGAGCTAGTTCCAGGTCAGGTTCCAAAGTTACAGAGAAACCCTGTCTCGAAAATAGAAAAGAAAGAAACAACTCAAACTAAGGCCTGACATTCATAAGTAAGAATAAGTCTCCATGCATTTATTTGGGAGCTGGGTGGTGGGCCCAAAAAAAGTCAAAAGAAGAAACACTGTGCCTGTGGAGAGGCCAGAAGTCAACACTGGTGTTTTCCTTAATACTTGCCACCTTATTTTCTCAGATGGGGTTTCTTACTGACCTACTTGACTAACCTAACCAGACAACACCAAGACCCTCCTGCCTGTGCCTTCCAGCAGGGGCACAGGTGGAGCAGGTGCGGAGACAACGGTGGGTTTTCACGTGGGCGCTGAAGTACTCATGATTCCACAGCAAGTATTTTTACATATTGATTTATTCCTCGCCCATTTTGTTTAGTAACCATGTTCTCAGACAGTCTAGGGTTGACCTTGAACTCCCAAAACCTTGGATTAGACTGGCACCACTATACCTGACTTTCCTGTTGTTTTTAGAAGATAGAACACATATACAAGCATATGTACCTATGTATGTATGTATGTATGTAATTTAAGGATGTACATATGTGTTCCAAGCTGGCCTTCATCTTACCTCAGTCTCTAAGTGCTGGGATTACAAATATCCATTTCGATACACAAGTCAATTAAAATGCTCAGTTTTAAGTATAGACACATTATTGCAATTTCAGGGCATAAATTACATATAGACAAGTTTGGGTTTAAAAATATGCTCAGATGCTGGCATGATGGCTCAGTGTTAAAGGTGCTTGCTGCTAAGCCTGACAACCTGAGTTTGATTCCCAGGACCCACACAGCAGAGGAAGAAAAACAGCTCTCAATAGTTGTCTTGTGACCTCCATTTCTGGTACCATGAGGGTATACCCACCTTCATTAAATCAATATACAAAATAACAGAAGCTTTCAAATAAAAAACCATAAGTGATGAATACATGAGCAGCCGGTCTGTGGCCATACGTATGCTAGGGTCTCCATGGTCAAGATGCCTGCTGCAGCCACACTGCAAAGGGCCTGCTGAAAGTACCCCCCTGGACTGTGGCACAACCTCCCTCTGCATCCACTTAGCCCCCGCACTTCCTCCAGCAGCTCACAGAGATGGTGTTTCTACCCTCACCACTCACATCACCAAGGTGACAAAAGGTGCTGGAGCGGGGGCCAGGGCTCAGACCTCATCACCCATCCTCCCCAGTCACCGTGGATGGGCCTTTGCATCCCTTTCTGCAGATCATGCTTCAAGCCTGCCTTGGAGCACACTGATTACCCTATTTCATAGCAGCCCTCCCCAGCGCTGTTCATGCCCTCACCCTGCCTTAATTCTTCCCTTGTAGTCCAATCAACTGCACAGTAATTACCTGTACTGATGTTTCTTCTTGTCCCTAAGAGACGTGGTGATTGTGTGGTGGCTCTGTAAGACTCTGAGTGCTGAGCATTTGTGGGATGTTTCTTGTCTATGTTGTCCCCTCTGCTATGGATGCTCTGTCCTGCTTTTCCCTTTAGGACCCTCCTTGGTGAGCTCCCTCCTTGGTGAGCCACCTCAGACCACCTCACCCTAGTTAGCCAGTCATCTTTTCTACTGGCCTCACGCTGTCCCCTCTGAGAGTCCCAGGGCTGTGGCACTTGTGCCCAGGTGCCTGCCCAAACCTGAGCAGGCCCTCAGTATCCATCCACTGCACCCCTCCCAGTCTCAGGACTATTTCATTGTTCCTGCCCCGTTCTGCTGCCCTCTCACTTTCTACAGATATTCCCTGAGACCTAAGTATCTCTCTGCACACTGTCCCACACTATGTCCACTTGGCCCCTCCTATTCAGGCTTCAAGATCCAGCACAGGCAAACCTCTCACTGCCACTTCCCTGATGGTCCTGGCTATTGCTGCCCCCATCACTGTCTAGAGGCTGTGGCTTTCAAGACCTGAACCTGGGTTCCCACCTCAGTCTAGTAGAGGACAAATGGGTCATGACTGATGGAGAGCCCAGGCCCTGAGCTGCCGCCTCCAGGAGGCTCTTCCGTCTGCTCCTCCCTGTGAAGACTTCCATGCTCTACCAACAACTCCAGCTCAGTGTTATCTCCTCTATGAAGCCTCCTTGAAACTCGAGGTGATCAGTGTCTCTCTCTGGGCTTGCCCACCCCGGCAATAACATCACCTAGGCCTGAAGACTCAAGGCAGGTCTTTAGTGAGCCCAGCTCCAATTTTCAGCCCTGTTAAGTCTGAGTGGATGTGATTCTATTCACTAACAGGCTCCAACCTTGTGCCAGGGTCCCACCTTCTCTCCCCTCTGATCTCACTCTCCAGAGTCCTCAGTGCTCACTATGACCTCATGGGTTGCTTGTGATGAGCCATCTGGTTGTCGTCCTTGGTTACCAAATCTTGCACGCTTTACCATGACTTCTAGGAGCTCAAGCCCCTTTGCACCCGCCATGCATTCTCCATCAAAGAGATCCTCCAAGCCCGGCATGGCTCCGGCACCGGCACCCACTGGGCCCTCCATGCCCACCACAGCTCCCACACCTCCAACTTCCTTGAAGACCACCAAAGTAGCGGCGCCCTCAGTGCATCCTAAGTCCCCTAACTTGGTCATGAGCCCCAGTAGTTCTAAGTCTACCAGATCAACAGGCACTAAGACAGCTCCTTCAACCCGTCCCAGCAGTAGATCCCAAGGCCACAGCAAGACGAGGACACCCAGTCGGCTGAGCACTGACACCAAGCCCAGGAAGGCCAGCAAGAGCAGGAAGAGCGGCAAGACTGGCATCGTGGAACAACATCGGCAGAAAGGCACACATAGCCGGGGGCGAACTCCGGGCAGGAGGGGAAGTCACAGCTCCAAGACGTCCCCCAGCAGAGCAAGCACTCCTATCAGTAAGAGAACCCATTCCGCCAAACCAGGTGTGGCCAAGAAGGCTACGACACCGACTTCCCACCGCAAACAAAGCCAAGGCAAGAGTTATACCCAACCTAGAACCAGTACTCAGGAAAGGAGTGCCAGCCAGCCTAGAAACATGCACCAGGAAAAGAGCCCCAAGCTGCCAGGTGCCTCAGACCCGGGGAGCAGCTCTAGAGTACCTGCGATCCCCAGTAGGGCCAAGAGCCACAGTTTAAGTAGGATGGTCTTAATGAGCTCTAGCAAGTCTCCTGTGACATCCAGGAGGGCCAGGAGCTATAGCCAGGTGACGTCCCCCAACAGGGAACAGACTCACACCATGATTGACCTGACTGACTTGTCAGGCATGGTCAAGAGTTACAAGCAGGACAGCAGCCCCAGCAGGACCCAAAGTTTTAGCCGCTCCAGGACCCCCAGCAGGACCCGAAGTCACAGCCGCTCCAGGACCCCGAGAAGGTCAAGAAGTCACAGTCACAAGAGGACCCAGAACCGGGTGAGAAGTTACAGCTGGAAGAGAAACCGTAGTAGGGCAAGAAGTCGTACGCGGAGGGGCACGCCCACCCAGATGAGACACAGCAAGTCCAGAACCCACAGCCAGGGGAAACGTCACAGCCCATGGAGAGCTCTAGGAAGGGAAAGAAGTCGAGTGAGATCTAGGACTTCCAGTCAGGAAGAAAGTCGCAGCCGGTCCAGAGGGACCCGAGAGAGACATCACAGCCGATCCAGAACTGCCAGGAAGAAGGGGCACAGGCTGTCTAGGATGCCTAGCAGTGAAAGCAGGTATAGCCAGTCTAGAACCCCCAGCACAGACACAGCCCGCAGCCGGCCTAGAGCCTCCATCAAGAAGAGAGCACAGAGCCGATACACCATTTCCAGCAAGGAAAGGCACCATGGCCAATTGAGAGTCACCAGCAAGGAGAGCTCCCGAAGCCACTCTAAAACCCACCGAGAACACGGCCACACTGGAACCCGCAGTAGGAGCCGAGAACATGGCCACACTAGAACCCACAGCAGGGACCGAGAACACAGCCAATCTAGAACCTCCATCAAGGACCAAGAATACAACCAAGCTACAACCCCTGAGAGCCTCCCAGGGAAGCCATCTCCCACCAGGACCAGGAGTTCTAGCCAGAACAGAGCCCACAACAAGGAAAGGGGTCACTCCTCCTTGCAGCCTCCCAAGGAATCCAGCTTCATCAACACCACAACTTCTAAGGCTATCTCACCTGGGGAAAGGTCTTCATCATCTTCCTCCAAGCTGGCGTAGCCTCCAGTCTCAGCGGGCTCACGGGTCTCTGTCATGGCCAGGGGAAGGGACAAGAGACGGGAGCAGAGCAGCTACTGGACAGGGTCCCTCCCCGGCCAGCTCTTCCAGTCACACCTCCAGCCACAAGCTCTTCTATCGCAGAGTGTTGGCAGGTAGCGAGAGATGCTGGACATGGGGAAAAGAAAAGCCTGTGGTGACTCAATAAATTTTTACATAACACTTGTCCTCATTCCGAGTCCGCTGTGTGCTCAGGGCTGAGGTGAGGCCTCTGTTCTGTCTTGACTACATACAGAACCCTGACTCTGCAGACTCTGCCTCCTGGAGATCTCAACAAGACTTTGTGGTTCTAATTCGGTAGAGTAGGGAGAGACAACCTCCCTAGTTATTTAAAGGTAGGTACTGGCACTGGCACGGGCACCAATCATAACTAAGTATGAAAGGAAGGGACCTGTGCCAGGCATTAACCCTTCAGCTGTCCACGGTAGAGAGGGCTAGGGCTAAGGGAGGATACCTCGTTAGTTATCAGGGACACAGGAAACTTGTTATAGCTGAAACACTAACTACCCTGGAAATAGTTTCTTTTAGTTCTGTTTGGTTTTTCAAGACAGGGTTTCTCCATAGCTTTGGAGCCTGTCTTGGAATTAGCTCTTGTAGTCCAGGCTGGCCTCGAACTCACAGAGATCCGCCTGCCTCTGCCTCCTAGGAGTGCTGGGATTAAAGGTGTGCGCCACCACTGCCTGGCATTTCAGGAACTCAAATATCCTAGGCTGACCTTGAATTTCTGATACTCCTGAATCTACCCCCAAAATGCTGGATTTCAGACCTGGGGTGCACACTACCAACTGAGCTACATTGCTACCCTTCAATTTTTCCTGGCTTGAAATGGGGCTTCCTGTATCCTGGATTGGCCTCCAGGTCAATAAGTAGCCACAGATGACCTTGAGTTCCAGATCTTCCTACCAAGTGCCAGGATTATACATGCACCACCATACCTGGAGTGTCAGGCATCAATTTACACTAATTTGTGTGAAAGTCAGACTAGGTTTGAACCCAAATCGGTCCTTTTCTGGCTATAGCTTCAAACAGGACCCAACTTCTCTGTGTCCTTCTCTGGAAAGTCTGTCACCGGGCCTTGGCTGGTATACTCAGTACCACAGAGAAACAGCTCCCTTGAAGCTGAAGAGGAAGGAACAGAAAGGACCAGCAGGTGATCCAAAGCCCAAGATCACCAGACTGGTGGTTGAACAAAGAATCAAAGCCATACTTTGAGCAGCAGTAAACTCAGCCACTCGACAGCCCACACATGCAATCCAGCCCTTAGGCTGATAGGAATCAGAAGTTAGTTTGAGGTCATCATTGACTACGAAGAGTTTGAGGCTAGTCTGGGCTATATGAGACCCTGCCTCCTCACAAACAGATTCATAGAACTTGCAGGTGTGTCGCAGACTATCACCTTGCCCAGCCAGTCAGCTACTCCATCCAGACTTCTGGAGGGTGCATACAGGCCCTTTCCAGAGCGGTCCTAGTACCTCTGCAGTTTCCGTCTGGAATTTTCTCCTTCCTCCTTGTGGGCCTTGGAGAACTAATTTTCACCTTGCAAAGCCCACCTATAAACATATTCTGCACTTCTCCTCAGCCCTAATAACCCATCTTCCTCCCACAGTAACTGTGAGAGGGCCTGTGGGGCCAGTGTAGGACTAACAAGCATGGTATCCTTACACTCTCCATAGACTCTTGCTAGACAGTCCAGGTTGGCCTTGAACCTGCAACCCTCCAACCTCAGCCTTCCGGGTACAGGATTATAGATATTCATCACTCCATCTGGCTCAGCCTCACTAGAAACTTGACAAAGCCTGTACATTAGGCACTAAGGACACAATGGTAGACAGTGCACACTATCTTTTCAAAGTCTTGATATCAAGTACACTGTTGGGGTAAGGCAGCTGAAGCAGGAAGTGCGAGTGACAGCAATTGCGGGGGAACTTAAAGGACATCTGGAACCTGGAGGAGGCCTTTCAAGGACAGAATTGGTAACTGGCAAGGAAGAGCTCTCATTATTACCGATCACAGGGAGACCCCCTCTAACTCTGGAGTTCTACATTCTCCCTGGGAAAACTGAAAACAATTAGTTTCTATTTTAGATAAATATTTATTATACATGCTCATGCAGTACTCATTCTCCCTCTTTCTGTTTTGAGATCAGGACTCACGATGTAGCCAGAACTGACCTAAAAGTCCTGGCCCTCCTGCCCCAGCCTTAGGGTGCTGGAATTATAGGCATATGACACCATACCAGGGTTTAACTTATTCTACTTGGCTACCACAGCAGGGATGGTCAGGACTTTCCTTGGGGTGACTTGGGGACAACCATCCCTTTCCAAACTCACATTACACAAAGCTCCTTCCAGTATGTTCCGGGTGTCAGGTGGAACCATCCCTCAGTACAGAAATCCTGTACGCAGCCAGACTGACTTCCAAGATGGTAGAGGTAAAAAAAGAAAAAGAAAAACATCCTCAGCACTACAGGTGAAAATCATCTGGGCGTGGTGGTGCATCCCTGCAAATTCAGCACTTGGGAGATTAGAAAGCCTAGGTCATCCTCCACAATATTGTGGGTTCAAGGCCAGCCAGGGCTACGTGGAACCGTCTCCCCCCGCCTCCCACAAAGGCAAATACTGTGGCCCGGACCCCAGACAACACTGAACCGAGATGGTGTGAGTGAACACAATAGCTACCTTTCCGCACAACACTAAGGTAGGACAAGGGCTCGGACAAACCCCGATACCAGACAATGCCCCGTGACAACTTCCCACGATGCCTTGGGCCTTTAACGACCACCTTCTAAGACGCCAAGCACCGTCAGGCTTCTCGCGGAAAACGTGTGCGACCAAAAAAAAAAAAAAAAAAAAAAAAAAGGGGGGTGGAGACACGCCCTCCGGGAGCCCAGGCCC